CGCACATTTCCATTCAATTTCACAGCCCCCCTTTCACAAAGGCATTCCCATTCAGCCTCGACTGGACTGGACTGGACTACAGTTTCCACCTCGCCTGAACTGGCCTCACCAGCACTCCCCAGCCCGACATGGACCGGGGTTGTGGTAGTGCAGCGTACAATCGAGGCGCGTTAACCGCTACGCCACTCTGCCACGAGGGCCCTCGACCCGCCGGGCAAGTGTGAACTTCACAGAAGACCGGACATTCTCCCATTTCACATTCTCTCGCGGGATTGCCGATGAAGCAACCGACCACATGCTTATTTTTCATTTGATCTACAACATTGTCATTTGTATCACCTTGCCTCGCCTTCTAGCACTAATCGGTTCACACCGAGTTTGTGCGCCCATTGGACAGGAGGGCAGTCTTTCACAGGCACATGGAAATGCGTCACTGGCAAATAGTCATGGGGATAGGGGTTTCCGCTTACCTACGAGTTATCAACTCGACTCCGCACCTCAAAAAGTAGGCAGCGGCGTCAGCCGGCTTTGGCGAGCAAGCCTAGGCAGAGCCGAGTCGAACCGAACCGAACCGAACGCGAGGCCGAGGGAATGGAGGTCCAATCGATCGAATGGCTTCGCTGCGCCCGGCCTCAAATCTGCCTCAGCCTTGGGCCTCGAAGTGCACTGCTTGCCACAGCCCGTCTGCGATCAGGTCTGACCCCAGCGCATGCAAGGCGCACACATGCACATGAGCGTGTGTGCATGTGCACACGCTCGCCAGTCCAAGTGTACGCGCACTCACACACAGCCGCGACCTCTTCTGCACCCGAACGGGGACGTAGGCGCACTCACTTGTGCCAGGCATATACACATGCATGCACGCACGCACACATGCATGCAGGCAGGCAGGCGGGCGGGCAGGCGCGCACGCACCCACGTACGTGGGCACTTATCTCACGGACGGACTCAGATGGAGGCAGCGCGGCTGGCACACAGTTTTAAACCGGAGCCGATCGATCGTAAAGGAGCGATAAGGCTGGCAAACTGGCTGGTCGTATGGCTGGCTGGGCGGCTGGGCGGCTGGGTGGGTGAAGCAGAGAGTCGGAGAAGCAGGCGAGACGGATGGCTGGGCGCTGATAAAAGTGAACTCAGCTGATGCCATCTGATGTGGCTTGATAAGGCCGACTTGTCGGAGCGGGGCGCGCGGACCGCGATGTCGGTCTGTGCCCGACGCGTGGCAGCCTCTGCGTCGCGCCGCCGTCGAGGCGGGACGGCCGCGCCTGTCGTCCTGCGGCGCCGGCTGCCCGCCTCCGGCCATTGGTGGCCAGTGGGCCAGACTGCAGGACGCACCGACCAGGCGAGACGCGCCTGCTCGCCTTCTTTGACGTCGTCGCGAGAATCCGGTGGTTCGAGTCTTTCGTCTCTTTTTCTACAAGTCGCCAGCCCGCCTTCCGTCCCGGCCGGGCTGTCACTTTATTGCCGTGCCTCCGGCTCATCGTCATCTCACCGCTGCCCACGGTCGCGGAAACGCTGGGCCGTAGGAGGTGAGCCCGCCGGAGATAAGCCAATGAGATAAGCCCGGGTCCTAACAGGACAGAATGCGTGAATGGGGGGGGGAGGCTGGTGAGAGCCGAGTCGATTAGGCGCCAGCCCTGCCCACAGAGCTGTCCTGTTGGCATAGGCAGCTGACGGGCAGACCACGAGGCGGCAGGTCAGCAAGACGGCTCCGATTGGTTGACTGGCTGCACTTGTCCGATTGGTCAGAAGGCGTTTGTTGCCCTATTCTGATTGGCGGTTGCATGACCCGACGTGGCAGTCGGAAAGACTGCCGACCTGCGACAACGAGGCGAGCGACTCGTGCCGGCCTGTCTGCTGTGCTTACGTGGCAGAGCGACGGTTGGCTTCCCTCTCTCCTTTCCTGCCTATCCTCAGGCGTCAGAAGACAACAAGACTGACTCAAACTGGTCAAGTTATAAGCCAGCCTATAGGCCCCCTCAATGGGCGAGTCG